CTAGTGGCAAAAGCTTTAATTTTTCAAAGCCTTAATACAATTCTTCGTGTAGGCTATATAAATAAAAAGACAAAGCCAAGTATTTTCATTACTTACCGCAGCTGGATACACGAACGTCAATGTTTTCTCATCTCCATGGATATTTTGAGCCATACATGTGTAACCACCAAGATCTCCCCACGATAAGTTACGGATTACCAGGTCTCCATTTTGTAAAACCTGTAGAAAATGTTCATTTCAACTAATTAAATACATTTGTTATGTTTTCAAAAAAAAAAAAAAAACATCAAATAGTCAGTTTAATTAAATTAAAGATTAATTGTTAGAGCATGTTATGTCATTTAACACAACTTATTTCAGACCAAAAAAAAAACTCGCTTTGTTTGTTAATTTGTGTTTCTTTTACTTGGGATTGTTTTTGTCGTGTTTTTTTGTTGTTTTTTTGTATTTATTTGTGCAGCTTTGAGCGAAATACAACAAACAAACTATACAATAAAAGAAGCATTCTCTATATATTTGCCTCGCTCTTTCCAACAGCACCGATGAGCCGTGAATTCGGTGAAACTAGTCTGCTGTAGTGGAAATAACGACTTAAAGAATATATGAGGCCTCTACTTCGTAATGTTTTCATGAAATTGATCTTTTGGTGAAGAAAATAAATTAGCAAACAAATGAACTGAACTGATGAAAAATTTACAATGTGGCGCCATCTGTTGGAAGCAAAATTTCAAAAAAGATTTTTATTAAAGTGGCAAAAACTAACAATAACTGTTACTAAGGGATATAATTACTAAAACCTACTTTCGATCTGATTCTTAACACAACAAAAAATAAAATAAAGTATTTTTTCAACGTATGAAATGCTTTATTATTATTGCTAGTTAAATACAGTTATAAGTATCCAGCATCATTACCAGTATCTTTTATTATTATTATTACTAGTTAAATACAGTTATAAGTTCTAGTACATGCTATACGATCAAGTAAAAATATTTCCCGAAGTAGAAACTAGAGTGATTATTTTAAAATGACTGATTTTGTTATTTTAACATTTACTGGAATAAAATGTCCAATCTTAATATTTACCTGTACTATAAGGTCTAGTCTTAACATATAGCAATAAATTACGTCCTGTTTTAACATTTACTGGAATAAAATGTC